GTGAGAGACACACAGGTGAGAGACAAACAGGTGAGGGACACACAGGTGAGAGACACACAGGTGAGAGACAGACAGGTGAGAGACAAACAGGTGAGGGACACACAGGTGAGAGACACCGGTGAGAGACACAAAGGTGAGAGACAGGCAGGTGAGAGACAGGCCTGTGAGAGACAGGCGTGTGAGAGACAGGTGAGAGACAAACAGGTGAGAGACAGGAGAGGGACAGACAGGAGAGAGACATACAGGTGAGAGACACACAGGTGAGAGACAGACATGTGAGAGAGAGACAGGTGAGAGACATACAGGTGAGAGACAGACAGGTGAGAGACACACAGGTGAGAGACACACAGGTGAGAGAAACACAGGTAAACAACAGTACCCAGAATGCACAGCAGTGTACCTGCTGCTGAGACTTGATTTTCTCTCTGAACCTAAAACTCATCTGTTCTTGTTGAGGGGTCCTCTTCCTCTGAGAGAGAGACAGGTGAGGGACAGACAGGGAGACCGGTGAGAGACAGACAGGTGAGAGAGAGACAGACAGAGAGACAGGTGAGGGACAGACAGGTGAGAGACAGACAGAGAGACAGGTAAGAGAGAGGCAGGTGAGGTGAGAGAGACAGGTGAAGGACAGACAGGTGAGCGACAGGCAGGAGAGAGACAGGCAGGAGAAAGACAGACAGGTGAGAGACAGACAGGTGAGAGAGAGACAGGTGAGAGAGAGAGAGACAGGTGAGGGACAGAAAGGAGAGAGACAGGCAGGAGAGAGAAAGACAGGTGAGACAGCCAGGTGAGACAGAAAGGAAGCATTATGATCTGGTTTCTACTGGTCACATCACTGGTTCTACTGGTTACCGGTCTCCATGAGGCCTGAGGCGGAGCTGCATCAGGGGGACCATCTGCAGGCTCCTCCTCCTCCTGAAGGACCACAGCCTCAGGTTCAGTCAGTACAGGTAACATTAAAGTGTTAACAGGAAGTGAGATATTAATGAAGCCTCACCTGTAAACGTGACGCCGCCGCAGGAGAAGAAGCAGAAGAAGAAGAAGAAGAAGAAGAAGAAGAAGAAGAAGAAGCTGGACTCCAGCAGGAAGTAGAATGCTGATCAAGTTTCGCCTGCAGCTGATTGGCCAGCAGACGCACTTTGGCCCCGCCCACCTGCGCCTCCTCAGACACCTGGATGCCTTCATCGCCGTTCAGGTCACATGACTGCAAACAGGAAGTCAGTGTTTAGATTCTCACTTCATATTTATTTTATTTTGATAAAGACAGATATAAACCGACCTGCAGATCCGGACCCGTCCTTTTACCCAGAGTGCCTTTCTGCTCCTAGGGTCAACACCTCATACAGGTAAGACAACATGAGGACAGGTAGGGTAAATACCTCATACAGGTAAGACAACATAAGGACAGGTAGGGTCAACACCTCATACAGGTAAGACAACATGAGGACAGGTAGGGTCAACACCTCATACAGGTAAGACATGAGGACAGGTAGGGTCAACACCTCATACAGGTAAGACATGAGGACAGGTAGGGTCAATACCTCATACTGACTACATAAGGACAGGTAGGGTCAACACCTCATACTGGTAAAACACAAGACATCAACATGAGGACGGACAGAATAAAGAGGGGCTTCAGTCCACCTTGGCGTTCCTCTTGATGGACTGACTGAGCAGCGAGTGCAGGGTCAGCTGACCTGCAGATCAGAAGAAAAGAGTTTAAAGAGAAACAGAAACAGGTGGTCCAACCCTGGAGAAGACATTTAAGGTTTCTGAATAACAGTGAGTGCTGACCCTCAGCAGCAGGGGGCGGTCAGTGTTTAAAGTCTCTGAATAACAGTGAGTGCTGACCCTCACCAGCAGGGGGCGCTCAGTGTTTAAAGTCTCTGAATAACAGTGAGTGCTGACCCTCACCAGTAGGGGGCGCTGAGTGTT